ACACTTGGCCAATAAAGAATTCTATTCTATTCTATTCTATTCTATTCTATTCTATTCTATTCTATTCTAGTCTAGTCTAGTCTGTTATATTCATGCTTTACTTGTTTTCTCATACATGCTTGACAACCAAAATAAAATAAAAATAAATAAATAAAAAACTAGGAGCCGAGAGAGGCCTTTTGAGGAGAAAAGGCAGCCTGAGTCGAGGTTGGGGGGGGGGGCAACGTCTTCCTCCTATCCCACTAGGCCTGAGCCCCCCCCCAGCCGTCCACGCAGAGCCCCCCCCTCAGGCGAGAAATTCAAGGGGGAAAGAAGACTCGCCCTTAAGCCGAGCCCTCTATGCACCCTCCGGGGGTCCCACGCCGCCCCCCACCCCACTCGTGTCCTTCCCCTTCTCCCTCCTCCCCGCCCGGCGTGTCCCACTCACCCAAGGCCAAGCAGAGGAGCAGCGAGACGGGTCGCGGGGCGGCCATGCTGAGGGGTCGGCTCCAGGGTGCGCTCCCTTCTCGGCCGGGGAGGTGGGCCGCTCCGGAGGTGGGCTCGTCCCGCCCTTTCCAAGCAACCTCTTGGCGGTCAAACAGTCAGACGATCCTGGTCAAGAATCTTCTCCGCGAGAGTATTTATAGCCCGCTCAAGGAAGCCCCGCTGGGGATCGGAATGTCACTGCCGGATCCACCTGCCCTTGCTTCGGACACCCGATCCTGCCCGGGACCGGCAGGGACGTCGGCCGCACGAGGCGTTCCGCCGCTCCTCGCCCCGACGACGGCTGCTATTACTGCTGTTGCTGCCCCCGCCGCCCCGGCTCTGCGAGGGACCCAAGCCGGGGAGCAAGACGGCACGACGAAGCAGAGGAGGCGGCCGGCTGCTGGGGGAGCCATAAAAGTTGGGGTGGGCCCGAGGGAAGGCGAGCGGCAGCGCGGAAACCGGCTCCCCTTCTTCAGCCAGCCATGGGCAAGGCGGCGGCAACGGCGGCTCCTCCCGGTGGCTCCGGCCCGGGCTGGGCCACCCGCGCTCCCGCGTCCTTTCGCCTTCAAGGTGCGCCCGGAGCGACAAGGTGGCGGCGGCGCCTTGCGGCCCTCTCTGCTCGGCCGAAAGGTCGCCGCTGCTTCGGGGCCGCGATGAAGCGCCCCTGCGCGGTCTTATCCGGAGCCTTGTCTCAATTTGGGGAGGGGGTCTCTCCCCTCTTTCAAAGGCAAAAAAAATGGGGGACCCTCCCTCCTTCTCCAAGCAGTTTCTCCGCTGGCGGAGCCCGAGATCAGCCGCTCCCTCGGGCAGATGCCTCCGCGGGACTCGAGAGGGTCGGCTCCATGTAGCCCCTTCTCCGGTTTCTGGCTGGCTGCAACCTTGACGGGCTGCCCGGGGAGTCGGGTCCCCGCCTTCGGATCTGCCGGCGCGGCTTCAAAGGCAGGGCTCGGCTGGAAGCTCCTTGCGCTGGATGCGGAAGGGATCGGGCCCGTCCGGGAGCGAGCGGGCGGGGATGACTCGCCCGCTGGACGGCTCCTCGCTTCTCCCACCACCCACCCCGCCTCCTTTCCCTTTCGGCCCCCTCTCTCCCGTCGCCTTAGCCTTCCCCGGCGGCGCGCACCGCTGCGGCAGAGGCTGAGCTGCCCGGGAACTGCTCTGGCTCGCTGCTGCTGGACAGGGCGAGGAAGGATGGCTCAAAGCGTGCGCCAGGCGGAGGAGGCGGGCGCCGCCAAACTTGATGCATTGCAGCAGCAGCGGCGGCGGCGGCGGCGTAACCAAGTGGGGGGAAGAGAAAAAAAAAAAAGCCACGCGGGCCTCAAGATCGAAGGGTTGCAAAGGGAATTAAAAGGTACCGTTTAATGAGGCCGGGCGAGCCGGGCTGGGGCCCGCAGTGACTTCAACCTCCCGCCTCCGAAATGGGGCGATGGGAACGTGAGCCGGGGGCGGGGGAGGGAGAGAAGCAAGCCCGGGGTGAGGTGGGGGTGGAAACACGACCATAGGCGGAGGAGGAGGGATGCGTCACTCTCTGCAGTGGCTGCGGAGCCCGTCCCGAGGCAGCCCCCCCAGCATTGAATCCCAGTTCTGGTCCTGTTGGTCGGAACCGCCGATCGGCCCAGAGAAGTTTTTTTTCCCCCCTGGTAAAATGCCAGGGTGGAGGTCCAGTTGATCCGAAGGAAAGTCCCCCCCCCCAAAAAAAAAAGCCTGCTGGTTGTGAGGATTAGAGGGGAAGAGTATGAAAAAGACTTTGCACATTCCCTAAAGCAGTGTTTCTCAACCTTGGCAACTTGAAGATGTCCGGACTTTAACTCCCAGAATTCCCCAGCCAGCGAATGCTGGCTGGGGAATTCTGGGAGTTGAAGTCCGGACATCTTCAAGTTGCCAAGGTTGAGAAACACTGCCCTAAAGAGCCCACCCTGGTTTATTGCGGTGGTCCAGGAGGCTGGAATGAATGCCGGTAATTTAACTTGGGGGGGGGGGGGAGAGATTCAATTCCTGACCTCTTTATACAGCCTCCAGCCCAATATTGTCCTTTTGTTTTGCTACCTTTGCTTTGTTGAATAGCAAAGTTGACAAAGTCTTGTTGTTAGTTGCGATGTTGTGTGCGACCCATCTCGACCCCATGGACCATGTTCCTCCAGGCCTCCCTGTCCTCTACCATCCCCCTGAGTCCATTTAAGCGCACACCATCCAGCCACCTCATTCTCTGCCATCCCCTTCTTCTTTTGTCCTCCATTGTTCCCAGCATGAGGCTCTTCTCCAGTGAGTCCTTCTTTCTCATTAGTTGGCCAAAGTCTTGACCCGTCAAAACCGCGGTAGACAAAAGCTTACCTGATGTCATCAGCAGCGCGACGAAAAAAATTAAAAATAAATTAAATTGAAATTAAAATAAAATTAAAGCAAGCCGATTCACATAAAGGTAAGGGTTAGGTTTAGGTTAAGGGTTAGGGTTAGGTTTAGGTTTAGGGTTACGTTAAGCGTTAGGGTTAGGTTTAGCGTTAGGTTACGGGTTAGCGTTAGGTTTAGCGTTAGGTTAAGGGTTAGGTTTAGGGTTAGGTTTGGGGGGGTTAGGGTAAGGTTTTCGCTTTAATTTTAAATTTACCGCTCACAGCGCGATGTTTTCGTCGCGCTGTGATGACGTCACGTACGCGCTTTCGTCGAGCGCGCTTTTGTCTACCGCGGTTTTGTGGTGGAACCGGCCAAAGTATTGGAGTTTCCTCTTCAGGATCTAGCCTTCTCAAGAGCAGTCAGGGTTGATCTCCTCTAGGATTGACCAGTTGGATCACCTTGCAGTCCAAGGGACTCGCAGGAATCTTCTCCAGCACCAGAGTTCAAATTCCTAGTCCTAACCTAGTTGGTTAGGCAGAGAATGACACTCTGCACATGGGCAAAGGCAAGCTCCCGACTGTAATCCACTCTGCCGCACCGATCAGCTGGGCTTTGGAAAAGGAAATTAGGTGAGTATAACCCAGCGGCCGGTGGACAGGCCCACTCCAAAGTCCAAGCGAACCGGTTCATTTCCAATTGATAGTTGGAACTACCAGCTTGCCGAACAGGTAGAATACCACTCCTGCTGATGTTGGTTTGCCAGCCAGAGAGAGAGAGAGAAAAATAGATGTAAGCATAGTGAAGAAAAAAAAAACAGCAAGGTAGCAGAACCTATTTTGATGAAACATTTTTAAAAGCACCTCCCTCCCCAAAAGGACATACACAAGGACGCAGCAAACTCCGATCCACGGTCTTTTATTTCACTCCCTAATAAATAAGCCCTGGCAATTTTCTGGAACCTCAAACACACTGGATTATTAATACTGAACAGACCTACAAAACTGAAGGAATTAGACCGCCGCTCCCTCCCTCCCCCAACCCCGCTTTTAATGGGGGGAAAAGGTTAAAAACGGAGAGGGGCCTGAATACCTGGGTCTCCCAGGTTTTTTTGGAGGGGGGAAAGGGAACACAGAGTTGACAAGACACACAACCCCCTCTCCAGGAGGGGGCAGATTTAATGCCCCCTCCCTGCCACCGGCAGTATATTTGAAGGGCTTAGAGGCCGAGATTGGCAGTGAAACTTTTACTTTTCATAGTGGCAATACAGCTTCTTGGGAAAGGGAAAGGCCCAGCTGTTGTCCAGGAGGCTGATGCGGGAGTCTCCCGTGTGGCACAAGTGGCATGCTGCACAGGGTTTAAAAAGAAAAATTAAACCCCCGATGGAACCACCATCCTTGACTGCACCCAGGTACGACATTCCCTTAAAAAGCACCATGTGGAGGATTATGTGCTAAATCGTCTTGGTTTTCATGGCACACCAAAACAAATGACTGTTGAATGAGAGCAAACATCCACATTTTGCCAGTCCTCCCCATAACGATCTATTGTTTGTTAACCCGGATTTTCCAAATTCAGAAAAGGTTATGCCATTTGAGGTTACGGAATACGTATACCTGTTACATGCCTTGGCTGCCAAGTTCATTTTCAATCAATCAATCCATCTCAAATGGTGGGTTTTTCAGGTTCAGATTACACAGAGCAAGTCATGGTTTCCCCATTCTTAGCAATATCGTTAAGGTGTCTGGACTTCAGCTCCCAGAATTCCCCATGCTGGTTGGGGGAATTGTGGGAATTGGAAGTCCAGGTATCTTTAAAAAGTTGTCAAAGGTTTAGGGTTGGGACTGGCTATGCACAGTGGGGAAAAGGTGTGCTCTTTCAGCAGGCATTTGGCTTTAGTGTCACCTAAATACGCTCCAAGAGAAACAGCTGATAACTTTCACAAGTCAAATACTACTCTGAAAAGAAGGGTTGGGCTGGACTCCAGCATACAGGTATGTATAGAGAACTGCTGGTGTTATGTATCTTTCCAAGTTCCAAGGATACTTCAAAGGTGACCCCCATGTTCAGAAAGTTTTCGGTGTTAATAGATGCCCCATCAGCAAGAAGATGCTGCAGTCCAGCCCCCCCCCCCCCAAATGCTTTTTCTGGGCCTGAAAATGTGGGGCTGAAGAGCCTTTACCCTATCGGAGGTAATCGGTTGGGAAAATCCCTTTTTCACAACATTGACAATCAACCCACTGAACGGTAGGAAAAACAGGGCAGCAGGGAAGAAAGCTGAAGAAGGAATGAAAAGTCCTCCGGAGCCTCCGGAATGCTTTTGCCCCGCCATCAGTTCATCATCGCTTGTGCGTTAAAGAGAGACAGAGAGAGAAAAGAGAATGGCAGAAGTTGGTTCTTTGCTGTCCTCCATCAGGGTATCTTAGCTGCTGAGTGAAGTTTCAGGGCAAAAGAGAGATCCCGGCTCCAGAGGCCATCCCCCTCCCCAAAGCTGACTTCCACCCTCCTTCCTCCCCCAAACAATAGCTGGGGGAAAAAATAACCAGTGCCAGAATACAGGAAAATCAAGGGAAGGGGAACCTGGGTGCGATATAAATAGCACTGAAGTGGGAAAAGGGATAAAGGAGGAATGAGCCGAGAGAGAGAGACGTTCCCGGCAAAAACCAAGAGATCCATCGCTACCGGTGGCCCTCTTGGGGATAACGTCCAAGGTGATGGATCTGGCGGGGAGCCTGCTGCTGTCTCCTCCTCCCACAGGATGCCCACGCCACTGGTTCGACAGTTTCTGAGATGGATCTCAGGAGTCTTCTTTCTGGTAACTCAGCAACCTCCCCCAAAAGGGAGAGAGAGAGAGAGAGAAGGAGATGTTGTTGCTTCACTCCGGTTCCAACGGGGGCTCTGCCACCATGATGCCTTGCTGCAGCTTCTCGAGGGAGAGCTTCATCTGGTGGAAAGAGAATGAGAACAAGTTATTCGCCAAAGGGGAAAGCATCGCCCCAGCCAACAACGAGAAGGAAGCTCGGGTTTGAGTTCACGTTGTGGGAAATGAAGCTTATTTTTTGTACAGAACCGTTAAGAAGACACGGCTAGCCTGTGAAGAAAATACATGGTGTATGTTTCTAGGTTCCACCACAAAACCGCGGTAGACAAAAGCGCGCTTGACGAAAGCGCGTACGTGACGTCATCACAGCGCGACGAAAACAT